GATGTGGTGATTGTTCTATTATGACGTATGTGTATATGATGGAGTTGTTGCTATGATGATGACGTGTGTAATATGAAGTATGTGATGATATGATGACTATTATATGAATGATGATGCATTTTAACTAGCATTGGTCATGTTGTTATTAAAGATGTTTCGTATCATGCATTCATGGCATATGTTAGGGCATATCCCAATGATGGTTGCAGGAATTTGTTCCATTGAAGTTTCTAGGACGAATAGTCCAGTGATGGCCTCAATCCCATACTGTGGATGTGAGTGCAATTTTGTTTTGTTCTATGGTTTCAAGCGAGAACCGATCCTATTGGTGGGGTTCTTTCGAGAAATAATGACTGAGTCATCAGTGAATTTTTGGTACCACATGCATAAGTCTAATGAAGATGCATTACATTCTTGATGATGATTGTTGATTGATGGTATGATGATGGTATGATGATGCTATGAATAAATGATGAAGTGAGAGTGTGAGTATAACACGAATTTTTGAGGGTGTGTGGTGTTCTACTATTGTACTATAACTGCTATATTTATTCCTTATGTCTTTTATAATGATTATGATTACTCACCCTTTCTACTTGAAAATGTTGCCTCTATACGTGGGTAACTTACAGGTGATCAGGAGTAGAAAGTTGAAGCTTATATGATTAGCTTCAGAGTGGATTGTTATTTTCTGTTGATTTTTAGAAGTTCTTTCTCTGATATGTAACATCGGGGTTGGGAACGTTTGATTTTGGAACCATTATGTTCTTCCGTTATTTTAGATTTTGAATGTATCTTTCTTGATGTTTGAAATGTTTTTGATTTGTGAAGCAAACACAATATAATCGTGATGAAGTTTCTTTGAGGTATTTTTAATAATAACATTTTGAAACTATGATTCTGCTACGATGATTTTGAACTTTATATATAATGATATAAAAAAATTAGTTGACTTAGATGTTTTTGAAAACCCGTGTTACGGAGTAAGATATGTTTGTATGATATTTATATGAAGATGTGACACCCTCGTTGGTGATTTAATTTTATTTAATTTCGTAAAATATATGAGAAATGTATGTGGATTTAGAAGGGTGTTATATCAATAGCCTTACCTTTGGCATCTTTGTTGATGAGGCCCTCAGTAGCCTCCTTAGATTCGACACCTGTAGAAAAAACCTCATTGATTTTTTCCTCAAGGTCCTAGTTGACGGGGTTTTTAGTAACCTCCACCATGTTGATGTTTGTTGGTTTAGCATAGTTGATATGAGCTATCTGCAAAGAATCAGCTTCAACTTTCATCTGGTTCTTACTTTTTTTTCCGAACCTCAGTCTTACTTCTCTAATAGCATTTTGAACTAGATCCCTGAAAAGAAAACATTATGAGGTTTTATGTCCCAAAAAATTGATATTTGCAAAAACCTCTTTTCTTCTGTTGTTCTAATGGAGGAATTTTGGCGCCTGGTGGCACTATCATCTGGCCATCCTTCACCAATAAATCAAAAATTTCATCACATTTTGTTACATCGAAAAAGTATGTTTTCTTAGGGAATTTATCATTCTTTTCTGGTTCGACAAGACTATTCTCATTCGAAGGGGATAAGACTTTACAAGAATAGGGTCGGGCTTGCTTTAATTCAGCCAAGTCTATGTCGCTTTCTTCGAAGCCTATCGGGTCACTATAGATCTTTTGTTCATCTTCCTCGGCTTCGACATATGCAACCCTTTCTTTTCTAATATTTTTATTCACCCTAGCCTTATCAGCCTTCAAACATTCCACTTATCGAACTCGGTCTGCTAATTGGGCCATGTCCCTCAAGTATTGGGTGTCTAATTTCTTTTGAATCGAGTAATTCATATCGCCAGCGGCCATTTTAACCAAGTCATGTTTAGGCACTTGTGTAAAACACCTTACCTTCAACAAACAGAACTTGTTTAAGTAATCATCAATTGGCTCAGTAAACTTTCTCTTTATACTGGCCAATTCATGGAACAACCTCTCTAAGCGAGTCCAATCCTGGATGGAATTCACTGGGAGGGTGGTGAACCATGTGAAATCATTTTTTGTTAGCGAACTAGGGAAGTATTTTATCCTTAACTTTTCGTTATTCGCTATGTCCCTAGCCTCAATAAGATACTTGGCTATATGTTCGACAGTAGATTCGTTGGTGTCACCTGAGAATTTTGTGAAATTTGGGACTTTCCAACCTCTGGGTAACTCAGTTTGTAAAAAATACTCAAATAAAGGGGACATATAGTTTGGCATTCGCAAACCTACATTGACTCCATTTTGATCCATTATTCTTTCGACCATGGCTGCCTAATTATTTTATCTTGCAAATTCGTCATGTCTAACATGGTGAAAAACTTTGTCTGCATCCTGGTTTCGATTAACCATCACCACCCTTAGGACCTGAACTTCACTTGGTATCGCTTGTTCGACCCTGGGTTGTTCCAATCTTTGCCCCTGGTTAACTTCTCCAATATTCCATGCTTCTGGTTGCGCTTGATTGATTTTCTTTGAAAACCACTCCCTGGTTTTCTCTTATCCACTCTGGACGAGGATGTTGAACTGGGGCTCTCGGGGCACCAAAAAATATGCAATTCGTGTCATCTGCGCTTCCAATTGTTGATTCTTGAGCATTCTGTTGATTTGTTTGGATAGAATTTTGAATGAATAGATTAAAAATTGCGCCCATTTGTTAGGCTAAAACACCAATCATTTTGTGGTTACCGTCATCCAATTATTGTCTAAATGTTGCAGCAGAATTCATTGTCAAGGTAGGTAATTGGGTAGCAAATCTCGGTGGTGGGACTATTCGACCGATATTATTGACACCTTATCATGATCCTTGCAGTGGTGAAAAAGTAGACACAATTGGATAAGGTAATGTCGAAGTACTATTGTTTAAACTTTCAATTATTGATGTTGGCATACCATAAATCTGTTCACGACCATCCATAGGCATTGTGAATCCAGACGCGAAATGTCTAAAATTATTCGCCCCTAGTTGTCCTGAGATCACTGGTGGACCCTGTGTTCGTACTGTGGACGAAATTGAACCACTATGTGTACTCGTCTGTATTCCCGTTGTACTTGCTTGAATAGGTATTGATTCAGTTGCATATATTGCATTCATACTTCCTCCTGTCGGAGGAGGGGGTTGTTCTCCATTGTTATTGGATGGATTAACCATCTTCCTAATGTATTTTCTTTTTGGTAGTTTGTTAGTTTTGGCTAATTTATCATTCCTTAATCTCAAGCAACAATGTTAAACGAACAGACTGAAACAAAATAAAAAACAACACAAAAACTAGACACTAGTCATACCGGGTGTGCCAATTTATTTATCCTAGAATTTGGTAAACAAGCACTAGTCTTCTAAGACAAAGATATTTTAGTTACTTACAGGATCAACTAGATTTATCTTAGGACGATGTGTTTAGTTTTTGTTGATTTATGATTTTTTAATGTTCATCTTTTCGAATGTAATGGTCAATTGGTAAGTAATTGTGAAACTATGCGAAGTAACAATTGGAAAGTAAGGATAATTCGACTTAAACATAAAAGGAATTAAAAGAACTTTTGTAAAGATAAATTGACAATTGAATAAAACTTGGTGATTCATATGTACATTCTCAAAAACTCTTTTCTCAGTAAATGTTAGTACTTTGAGTGAAATTGAGTATTTGTATAGAATTGGAACACACCAAAACCCTAACACTGAGATTCTAATTTATACTAGTTCGACCATAACGGTCTTTTCCTAAAAGAATGCCACGTTCAATGTTTGCATGTCCTTCGCATCCTCAGACTTCCATGCGTCCTTTTGGATAAGATCAAATCTTTTGTATTCAAAATCTTCTTCCTTTCGAGGCTCCAAATCAACCAACGTGACCGTCGAAGCATTGCTCTTCGAAAACTTCAAATATCTTAAGTCACACTTATTCATAAAAATAAGACTTTCCCCAATACTTAGCAAGATTAGACTATCCATGAGCCTGTCAGTCAAAATCTTTATGAAATATTCTCATGTTTCTTTTAGAACTAACTCTTCTTTGACATTCTCTTATTACTTTAATATTTCCATGTCGTCGAAATTTTTAACTTTCACTTTCTAAGAAACCTCACTAAAGATAGAATCATTAAGATAAAGTACTGCATCACTCAAGCCCGATTGACTGACATTCTTATTAAGCCATTGGAGTTTGAAATGTTTGTCAAATTAAAGGAGGGCTTAGGAATAGTAACTCTAACTAGTGCTACTTGACTTCCTTCTAGAGAATTCAAAGTAAGGGAAGGTTTGTTGTATAATCATAAAGAGTAGTTAGTTTAAAAACAGTTAAAGGTTGTGTTAGTTGTTAGATTACTTAGCTGATAAGTTATTGAGTTAGTTACATAGTTACTTGTTCAGCAAGTAACCTTTACTTTGTCTTTGTATAAGTACTAGTTGGCTTTGATGAATATCAGTCTTGGCCTTTTTGATCTAACAAATATATGGTGAGTTTATTTTATACGATGTTAATCTTGTGTGTTTAAGTAGCATTATTTAAAGTTAATGATTAAAATGATGTTTTGTTAAGATTAAAGCTATGATACATATTTTATGTATCCTTATGTTTAACTGCACTTTAGTATGGTTACAAATATAAAATCCATGTTGGAGACAACAATGTTGAAAATGGTTATTATTTTATTATTGTCCTAACCTAATATTTAATTCACCGGATCTGTCATTTTCTTGGACAAACTTGAGCATATTATTAGTAACGAAAAATCATTTAGATGTTGTTCCTTAATTGTATGATTATAATTCCTCATCATGCACATGGTATGTCAAGAATCTTTCGATTTAAATCTCTCAAATGAATATCTTATTTTATTTTGTTACAAAGAAGAGTTTTGGCACCATAATATATAAGTGGAAGACTTGGTACTCTTGGAGGAATTATAAGTATTTTGAAGAGACCAAAATAATTTAGATTACTTTTTATGAGGCAGGATGAGTAGAAGTATAGGTTCTAAAGATTTTGGAGAAGTGAAAGATGCAAGAGCAATATTTCCCATATGGGATTGTGGTAGTCCATTATATGACTCATGTGAATTGGCCACACTTTCTCATATAGTTGAGAGACAAATGATGGAGTGGCCATATCTTGGAGGATCTAAGCAAATCATCGCAAAGGTCTTTGATCTTGATGAAGTAAAGATTTCAACTGGAAAAGCCAAAGGTTCTTCCAAGTGGATCAATTTAAGGGAATTTTTTGAGAAAATCTTGTGGAAGAGAAAGAGAAATGGAAAGCAGAGAAGCACAAGAAAAATAGTTATCGAGTTTTTTGGTTTTTATGGTCGATTTGTTTGTGGAAGAAATGAAGTACTCACATGAACAAATAAGGTGGTGTGAATGTGTGTTTTTATTCTTCATTATTATAGTGCACCATTGTATTTTGATTCTATGGTATTGTTTGACAAATAAGTCTAATTTTGTTCTTAGCTTTTCTCTTTTGAAGTTATTGTTAGGGAGTCTTGGAGAACTTTAAGAGCAACAAACGAGTCAATGTTCTAGGACTATTGAAGAGAAAAAACTATATATTTCCATCCAAAGTTAAGTTTAAAAGTATATGGCCACTTTTTTAATATATTCACTATTTTATTTTGTGATATATTAGATCTAACTCTAGTCTTGATAAGAGTAGTTTCATGGTTCAACCGAGATTAAATATGATGTTGAAGTTTGTTCACATGTTGTAGTCGAAGTATGCATAAGTATGCAGTAGTCAAAATGTTAGGATTGTTAGCATATTAAGTTTGACATGTTTGTTTAGTACAATTGTTTAAGTTAACTTGTAGTTTAAATTAGCTTAGTAGTCTATAAAATAGACTAGTTCTCTCAGGTTGTTTGTAACACCCTTCTAACCACACATGTATTTCTTATATAATTTACGATATAATTCAAGTAAACATCACCATAAAAGGGTGTCAGACTTCATACAAAACGTCATAAAACAATCCTACTCCGTAATGGTTACCACAATTATAATAACACCTCTTTATAAAATCAAAACATCATTTAGAAAAGCATCACAGTGGAACCATCATCATAATATTATACTTAAATTCTCAATACTCGTAACAGATTAGTCTCATCCCAAATTGGGAATTAAAATCAGTTTAATAATCAAAAACCTTCATAAAGTATGTCAACATAAAAATAACATAACATTCGCAAAGCAAAGCGTTCTCAACCCCGATGTTACATATCAGACAAGACACCTCTAATTAACGGAAACTAATAAGATACTCAAAATCTATCTTCAACGCTCCTACGAGCTACTCATGAGCATCTGCGTGTTACCCACGTGGAGGTATCATTCAAATAGAAAGGGTGAGTAATCATAATTAATTATAAAAGATATAAGGAACAAGATTAGTAGTTACTATTAGTTCCATATTTTAATGATTGACTAAATTTTTGCTAAGCATGGTTCTATATTGATGTTGAGTGAGATGGTGCAACATCTTTATCAATTGTCATAACAACTTTGTTGTTATGAGTTTTTCTACCAGATGTTGTAGAAGATGTTGTGACATCCTGGTCTAATGCAACAGGCGCTGCTTTTGGATATCCTTGAAGATTTAATTTGAAGATATGAGTATCTGAAATATTCTGTACTCATTATAGGCGCAGACAAATCAAAGATTTTGTTAGAAACACGTGCAAATTTAATTTGTTACTAAAAAGAATCGATTGAGACTTTTTAGGAAACTCTTTATGAAGATTGTTTCTATTTTCGTGGAGAATATTCTCTAGAGATTTTTCAGCTGAAGATTGGAGTTGATTGAAGCATCAAAGCTAGTCCAACCCCAACTGCAGAATCCTATTTAAGGAGTTGTCCAAAACCTAAGTTTCAAGCATAGTTTTTATTGTAAAACCTTGTGAAGAAATAAGGGTTTATGGTCGGTAGTTCCTTAGGTTCTCCATGTTTATTATCTACATCCTCGTGTATCTTTGATACATTTAAGTTGAGTATTTGTTACTTGTTCTACAAGCTATTGTTCTCACTTAAAACCTGTAGGCACAAGTTGAGTATTGTCCTTAGTGAAGCTTTTAAGAAAACTTAGTGTTTGTAATTTAGAAGTGTGTTCTTATTTTTTGGTTTCTTGAGACATTCCCTATGATTGAGATTGTTTGATATCACTGCGGTGAGTGGAAGTGAATGGATTCTCATATCTAGGAGGTATCTAGGTAGAAGTTGCACTGGGTAGAGATTAAGTGATAAAATTCTAGTATATATGACTTCAGATGTCCTATGACATGTTGAGACATCTGAATCCGAACAAACAACAATGACAAGGTATAAACTTACAAAACAATACTGAAAAGTAAATAACACACCAAAATTGTTAACCCAGTTTGGAGCAACTCTCCTACTCTAGGGGCATACCAAGCTAGAGATAAAGTTCACTATAATAATATCAATTCGAAGTTAAACTCCTATGTTTACAACTTCTCACTTAATCACTACCCATGCTAACTTTCTACCTAAGACTCATATAGGTATGAGGCCCTCCTTAATTCCGTCATCAATTACAGACAGTAATTGGATCAAAACAGGAAGACACACTTCCATATCAACAAAACTAGAAGACACACTTCCATGACACTACCTAGCCAAGACTCTAGACTAAGGACAATACTTAAAATTTCTTAAAATCTTTCTCGAAGAAAAATAATGAACTTTTTGCTTAAAAGCTTAAGAGAGAAAAAAGAACCTTACAACTCAAGGAACACAGTCCAACTCACATGTCGAGTGGATCACACATACCAACTCTTCTAGAGAGTGGCTTATAGACTCAGTCCTAATAACTACACTTTTCATTCACGACTGGTCCCTTCTTCTAGGTTACAATGCTTCTATTTATAACCTTTTCTCAACTGGATTTAGAATTCAAATCACATTATATTAGCTGCTACAAATCAACAGAAACTTCTTCTATTAAATAGGTCTTCAAGCAAATCTTTCCTAATTTATCTCCATAATTAGAAAGTTAATATTCTTAAATATTCTTCTTGATTCTGACTTGAATCTTCCAAACCTATAAAACAACGCCACATAGGATAACATAATATTCCTAGAATATTATGCATTTGTTAAATCTTGAACTGATCCAACTGTCTAGCTCAGCATGGGCGCGATGTCGAATGATTCTGCATAGGACATCTTATCCAACATGTTGCTCTAGATAATGAGAACTTCTCATCTCAACATGTCTCAACATAAAATAGGACTTCATGCTCAACCTATTCTTCATAGCAAGTAATCACATCCTATTTAACATATTGCTGCAATATTTGTTTTACTAAAATTAATATCAATTCTAAAAATAGAGAACTAACAATCTCCCCCTTTGACAAATTTTGGCTAAAACAAATAACATAAATTACAACCCATATTACAATAATAAAAAATTACACCCATCAACAGTAGTATTCAGAAACTACTGAGCACAACAACATAGAAACATGGAGGGACATCTCTTCACAAGCACAATGATGTTAGGCATCATATTCAACATCTTATCCATAACAAATCCATTGCAACACAAACAATAAACTAAAGGAACATCACCTACAAATCCTCAACAAAAAAGAAAAGGTTACAAAAATGACTGTCTTCTCAAATAAACATTCAATTTCTGAACCATCACCAAGTTTCAGAGCAAAGATTCCAGACTCAATTGGAATCTAAACGCACAATTAGTTGAGCATGTGATTGAAGAACATCACGGAGAACGGGTTGGGTACAAACAAATTTGAGCCTTTATCCTTTGCTTCTTAGACCGTGAACCAAGGCCACATTATAACCCTTAAAAGTCCTAGCTGAAGCATGGGTTAGTTCAAAAGCATATTGTTACAAAAGGTATCCTGACTCCTGTAAGCTTTGCTATAAGTCCTGAGTTGATATCACACTTTTACAAAAGTTGTTTGTTTTACCAAAAATGAATTTTCAAACTTCAAGACAGACATAAGCTTTGCATTCTTTAAATACTATTGTTTGCATATGACTATTTGTTCAACAGCAGAGAAATTCTCACAACGAATATTCGATGAACATAAATCCTCTCAATGGACAGAATCATCTCAGATGGAAAAAAATTTCCAGTAACAAGCTTTCCATAAACAAGGGGCATGACATGGCCTAGCTAATCTGGGGCAGTCAAGTCAAGATTCGAGGAATCTCTCAAAAGTGCCAAACAGACAAGGGGAGGATCCCCATATGAATCACTTGGGGAATTTCACATGAATTCCAGCAACGAATCATGTGCGGTCAAGCAAACATCTTCTGGCGGTGTGGCAACACTTACTACTATGGATAGTGACAATTCTCCGCACTCGGTGAACATGGACATAGTCGGAAAATACTACATATGAACAAAGACCCGCTAGGTTGACTAGTATAGGAAAAAATAAGGGTGTCCCGGTGAACCAAAAGGGTTCGGGCAAAAATTAGGATATGCATATGAAACATTTGTACACCCGGCAAGTCGAAAACCTGAAAAGGCGGCTTGGGAAAAAAAGGGTATCCCGGTGGATTGAAAATCTGAAAGAGTCCAGGAAAAAGTTAGGGATTAAAGTATACGACTATGTCCCGTCATCTCTTCATTTGTCTATCAGTAGAAGGATGACCACCCTGATCAACAATCTACTCAGGACTCCAAGAGTTGGGATAACAGTCAGACCCTCCACAAAATCCCAGTAGATACTTTCTCTGGCAGGTACAGAGGTAGGGGCATCCTACTATATATATCATTGTCGTATTCTCAGCATATAGCTTAATAATGTTAGGTGTTCTCATATACCTGGTGGAGCAAGAATATCCAACTACTGCTCCGACATCTAAGAAAATTCCCCAGTGAAGTCACCAAGCTTCTCAGGATTCCCCAACGGATTTCTTATCAAAACAACGAAATAAGAATTCCCAGCGAAAACATTCTAAATAAAGCAGACTCTCTTCTCGAAATGGTTCAGGTATGATCCAAAGACGGATGTCATATTGACACTTATTTCAGATTCTCTTCTAGAAACGGTTCATGTACGATCTAGAGATAGATGTCATCCTGACACTTATTCCAGATTCTCCTCTAGAAATGGTTCAGGTACGATCCATAGACGGATGTCATCCTGACACTTATTCCAGATTCTCCTCTAGAAACATTTTAGGTACGGTCCAAAGATGGATGTCATCTTGACACTCATTTCCTCTAGAAATAGTTCAGGTACGATGCAGAGACGGATGTCATCCTGACACTTATTCCATATTCTCCTCTAGAAACAGTTCAGGTACGATCCAGAGACGGATGACATCCTGACACTTATTTTGGATT